CATTACGGTATGTTCATCACACCACAGTTGTTCAACACATTACGGTTCGTTCATCACACCACAGTTGTTCAACACATTACGGTTTGTTCATCACACCACAGTTGTTCAACACATTACGGTATGTTCATCACACCACAGTTGTTCAACACATTACGGTTCGTTCATCACACCACAGTTGTTCAACACATTACGGTTCGTTCAGCACACTTGACTTTAATGTATTTTTTATATAATTTCCAGTGAGAGTGGCGAGAAGAAGCGTCCCGTGATAATCCACCGCGCGATCCTGGGCTCCGTGGAGCGCATGGTGGCGATCCTCAGCGAGTCGTACGCGGGCAAGTGGCCGCTGTGGCTCAGCCCGCGCCAGGCCTGTGTCGTGCCCGTTGGACCCTCGCTGGACCAGTACGCTACTACGGTAACAAAACAAATCAATTACTACGGTATTTAATAATTATTAATAACTTTCGCCCGCGACTCCGTCTGTGTGTTATTGAAAAAAACAAAAGTGAATAGTCTATGTGTTCTTCTAGACTATCTTCTACATCTATACCAAATTTATTCGAAATCCGTTCAGCTGTTTATGCTACAAACTCTAACAAACATCCATCCATCTAAACTTTCATCATCACATCACCAGATCATTAAACGTCCTCACCGAGGGACTCGGAACCTACCCTAAGTTAGGGTGACTAGGCCATAGTCAACCACGCTGGCCCAGTGCGGGTTGGTTGACTCCACACATATCTTTGAATTTCTCCGCCGATATGTGCAGGTTGCATCACGATGTTTTTGTACACCGTAAGAACGTCGAGTAAATTATGTACATATGAAAATTCGAAAAATCGAAAATCACATTAGTACGGCGGGATTTAAACCCAAGACCTGTAGATTACATGTCAAGTGCTTAAACCACTGAGCCACCGACGCTCATAGTCAAGAGCTAAACTTTCGAATTTATACATGTATAAAAAACTATCGGGTTACAAAATACTTGTGCTATTAAAAGCTATATCAATGAGTATAGGGCTCTTTTATTTTGAATTCCACGTGGCGGAAGTCGCGTGCAACAGTTAGTTAATGGGGAAGTAATATTTCGATCGTATGTCAGGTGAATGAGAAGTTATTCTCTCGCGGCTTCATGTCGGAGGTGGACACGGACGCGGGCGACACGCTCAACAAGAAGGTGCGCAACGCGCAGCTCGCGCAGTTCAACTACATACTGGGTAAGTATATATTTATTTATCTATACTAATATAAAGAGGAAACATTTGTATTTTTATATTTTTGTATGTATTGAAATAACTCAAAAACTACTGAACCGGTTTTTAAAATTTTTTAACCATCATAAAGTAAAGTAAACAGTAATATAGGCTATATTACTTATAATTTTTAAATTTCACACGGGCGAAGACGCGAGCAACAGCTTGACTATTCTAAGATGAAAGATGTATGTTTTTGTATGTATTGAAATAACTCAAAAACTACTTGGCCGATTTTTAAAATTCTTTCACTATTAGCTACATTTTCTTTTTCTTTTTTAAATTCACGTAGGCAAAGTCGCGAGCAACAGCTCGTTATATAATAAAGCGTAAATACACTTTTTATTATATAAGATGTCAGCAATCACAGCATATTTTTTTAATAAAAAGCCCTACACTTACGACAAGCTATAGACTTTATTTTGACGCTATTAAACTTAGGGAGGAAAGGATAAAACTACAAGCCAATAGCAGCAACGCAAGGTTACCATGGTGACGGTAATTGTTAGCTAATGGCAAATGCTTTGGTTGTTATGCATTTGAATTTTTCCAAAAATCCATCTTTCATAACTAAAGTCGATTCTCACATGAAGATATCGATTCAGTTAATCAAATCGATGTTTTTAACCATATGAAAAATGTATTCCAGTTGTGGGTGAACGTGAGAAGAACTCCGGTACGGTGAATGTGCGCACCAGAGACAACAAGGTGCACGGCGAGATGACCATAGACGCGCTCATAGACCACCTCGACAAACAGATCAGAGACAAGACATTGTCCGATGACAGCCAGCTGCTTGGTTAACCAGACAGGTTGCCATATACGTGACATTTCAATTGATGACGTCATTTGTCACATCACTGTACTTAACCCCTAAATGCATGATGATGCATTTATACATCTTTCCTTACACAATAGACTATTTTGAAAAACTTCTTTTTTCTTTATTTCCCCTTAATCTATGTTCAATTTACTAACCGTTTAAATTTATCTATACTTATACATATTATAAAGAGTAAAGATTTGTTTTTGGATTTTTCAATATATTTGATTCAAACTGGGGCGATTTTAAAACCATTATTTGTAAGGTTCAAAATATTTTTAAATACCTTACCTACCTTACCTTTGGGTAATTTACCTGTGAGTGAAATTGGCTAAATTAGATTATTAGTAATATTCAGGAACTATAGAGTATTTCTAGTGGCATTTAAAAAGAAAAAAAATCATGCATTTAAGGGGTAAATGTTTTTTTCTTCAAAAACAATTTTAACGGATTACGAAATGTTGCTCCCATCATATGGAAATTATTTATTTTATAATTAAAACTCGATTTGATGTACATAAGTTATATAAATTCCGAGCTTTTAAGAATATAGAAACTTGAGTAATTTTCAACTACATTTAAACATTTTTAGACAGATATTAACACATTTGTATGGTTAAAAATTCAAGTTTATTAAAAAGAGTGTTGAAACACGTTCCCTGAGCATTTGTTCATACATTTTTCCATTTTATTATCGATGTAAGTCGTGTTCTGTTCTCAGGAAAAGATACGCTTTTCTAAATAATACAAGAATCTTGTTAATTTATTGTATAATTGTAAGTGTCGGGATACATAAATAAAATAAAATTAAAAAGTTTTTATTGTGTTTTATTTACCATATCACAAATTACGAATTTCTCAACTTTTGCATGCATCTTACAAAACATATGAATATACTTTAAAATACATTTATTATGAAAAGTATTCAGATACATTCGAAACAAAAACCCGTTCAAAACATCCATATCAAATATGGAAGGTACTAGAATATCACAAAAGTAAATCATAAATAATCAAAATTAAATATATCACAATGAAGTAAAAAGCACATCTGTAAATTTTACAAAGAAAATTGCTTGAAACTAACACTTTTAAAAAGAAATTCAATATTACTGCTATCCATTTTAACTTAGCGTCTAGTTCAAAATTAGATAAAAAATTCAACTGTTCCAATTTTTTTTTTAATTTACAAAAGGCTTTTGATGATGACTGTACTTTAACACTTGGTGCGATTTATTATTTAAAATGTCTAGGGCCTGTCCCACCAAATTGTAAATTGTCATAACAATCCATTGTGTAAAATATGTGAAGGAAATATCGGATTTTGTTACCTTATCTGACAGTGACGTCATTTAAGCTATCTGAGCCTCTATCAGCCAGTGGTGGGACAGGTTCTAATGCATTAAAAAGTTGCCGCTTATCATTAAGTTTTGATATCTGACTGATAATTTGAGTAAACTTGAAAAACTTCTTTTTACTTTATGTCGTCTTTTTTTATATATTGTACTTTGTGAAGACAAATTTGGTTTTTATAATACTTGGTTCTTACGAATATAGCGATTTTATCGCCAACATATTTACTTAAACAAAAGCAAATAAATACTTAAAAAAGCTAGAGTACAAATACGTATAAAATACTATGCGTACACAATAACATAACATGCAAACAACAATTTACTTACTATTTCTAAAGTTACAAAATCCCTCGACTTATCTATATTTAGTGATTGAATATTTTTTGTCAAAGTCATTTAATTATGTTATCATGTTATGGTGCACGCATAGTAAGCGAGGATACCGGCGTGTATTACCAAATAATACATTGGTTTTACTTAATACTGATATAACACTGTTATGATTGACAATTACTCTCTAACGGTTTGGTTTCTTCTTCAACATTGCTGCTTGGAGAACAACAGAAGTCTTTGCAGAGGGATTTTATCTGTAATACACAATTTAATAAATCATACTTACTAGAAATTTTAAATGCGAAAGTTTAGATGGATGGATGGACGGATGTTTGTTAGAGTTTGTAGCCTAAACGGCTGAACGGATTTCGATGAAATTAAGTATAGATGTAGAGGACAGTATGGATGAACACATAGGCTATTACTTTTTTTTTAATTTCACGCGGACGATGTCACGGGCTTAAGCTAGTAAATCATAATAATATTAAATTCTAAAATTTGAATGGATGGATGTTGAATCTCTAAAACGTCTTAACGGATCCCAATGATATTTGTAATATGGCACCGAAGAACACATAGAGTACTTACTAAGTTACTTTATCCCAAGCGAAGTTGCGGTTAAGTTATTATAAATTGTACTGAAAAGTGCTCTTACTTACACTTATCTAGATTAATATGAAAAGTCTTTTATATTCATAGGAAAATGTTTAAAAAGTGTGCTTATATAAGAATGTAATAAATCAAGTGGTTAATTTAGCTACTACGCGCCAATAGCCTAATGTTTAGTACAGACTACAGATCTGGAGGTCGAGGGATCGAATCCTGCCATTCGACTATTGTAAACCATATCTTAGGACAAGTCCAAAACTTAGTCGGGATGGTTGAAATAAACATTAGTAAATAACAAAAATCTAATATTTTTTACTTAAAAAAAACTTGACCCATTTCAACTTATATGCAGATGCCCTACCTTATATTTCAAAATATCCTTAAGTAGACTTACCGTATATAAAAGTATGGGTGCTGCAATAACAGCACCAGCAAGAACATCCCACCAGTGATGGCGACGATCCCTTATACGTGATATGCCACACCATGCTGCAGACAGTATACATACTGCCTGCGCTGCCCACACTGCTCTTCTACCACTAGATTCACTACCCCCACTAGCCCCAATAGCACGACGGTGTAGATAGTACTGTGTAAATAAAAGATTGATTTTTTTAATACTATAAGGTGGCAAACGAGCAAACGGCAACCTGAATCCACCGAAATGCCAAAGCGACCGCTGCCCATAGACTACCACAACTGCAGATGCCAACCCTTAATCGACGAAGGAGACGCACATAAAGGATATTTCCCTTTTCTATGTTGTGCGATTGTTTAGTTCCATGGTAAATTACACATACAAAAATAGAATAAATATTGCTATCATACTATACATACGTACATATATATTAGTATGATTAATATTATAATTGCGAAAGTTTAGATGGATGGATGTTTGTTAGAGTTTGTAGCCTAAACGGATGAACGGATTTCTATGAAACTTGGTATGGATGTAGAGGATAATTTGGAAAAACACATAGGCTACTTCCTTATGGTTTTTTTAATTCCACGCGGACGGAGTCGCGGGTGAAAGCTATACTATATATTAATGTCTTAATATGACATTCTTCATATTAGAATCAGTTTGTAAATATTACTTACTGCTATAAATACCGCAGCATGCAGTCCTAGTGATGTGTGGCCGGAAGGAAAACTCTTATCAGACTGACTGAGCCAATATGCCTTGGTACATGTGTAGCTAGATATATATTCCGACCTGAAAAACATAATAAAAAACTAGTAAAAATATCTCCAGTACGTAATTGTTGCCATTTCCTTTATATAACAGAATGATTTGTCAAATGGTTTTCGCCAGTGTGCATGCATACTGTTTCCTTAAAGATTGCTAAGAGTTTCATTTTTTTATACATTACAAAAGGCTAGAAACCAGCAAGCGGCAAAGTAAATTCGCTAAAAAAATGAAGTGACCAGTGGCCATAGACATTTGACATGCTTTTAATCAAGGATTTAACACATAAAGGGTAATATACTAAAATATACTAACTCAACACAAGTGATCGCTTCCTCAGGTTGGCAAGTATCAAAGAAGTGTGGTCTTGGAGAGCCCACAATTAATTTTAATGTCTGTATAACTGTCAGATTAATTAGAACCCCATATACATACTCCTTGTACCAACGTAATGCATTTCTTTTGTTTAATTCATTCTTTTCGCTGCCATTGCACTGTCTCTCAACTATTAACATCTAAAATATATTAAATAAATTAATAAAAATAAATTAATTAAGTTATTATAACTAGAATGGAATCTTACTAATATTATAAATGCATAAGTTTTAATGGATGTTTGTTTGTTTGTAGCTCGCTGAACAGATCTTGATATTTAGCACAAATGTAGAACATAGTCGTGAAAAACATATAGGCTATTTACAATGTTTTTATTCTGTGCCAATGGAGTCACGGGCAAAAGCCAATCATGAAATTAACCATGAACATTTCGGACAAAAACAACTTAGATCTCAAGTAGTTTGCATATTAAACTTAGCAACATAAGACATAGTCATCAGGTTTTAGGAAACCATTAAATTATACTAACAGTGGTTAGTTTTATTAAAAGTATAAATTAAATAATTCATGGCACATTCTAGAAGAAATATCTCTATAAAATTATCTATTACAATAACAATTAACTTACAATAACCAATGGAAGGAATAAAGTAATACCCATCAGCCACTTCCAGCTAATTGTGTCTCCAGTGAAAGGATGAGAGAGTGCAGGATCATTGCATTGGAAGCCCAATTGACCTCCGGGTAATACTTTTAACTCCACAAGTAAGAACAGAGCTATTACTGTAACAAATATATTGAAAATTAATACATATAAAAGGTAATTTACCTGATGAAGTGTTGTCTCTCATAAAAAGACAAAAGGTTTTTTATTAAAATGCTGGCATGAAGAGTGAGGGGTTCTGATGTTATTCTCAGTATAATTATCTCTAGTTTTGCATATAAAACATTAGAAACTTTATGTTAAATTAACAACTTTTTGTTAACATTGTTTTATTCACACTTACCAAGGTTACATTTTAACATGTGACTTTTTAGGTACAAAATGTCCTCATTTTAAATTATAGATTTTGTACAATATACACTTAAAAGTTAAACCATAAATCGTGACTTACTCCTTATAGTAGTCATTTCTTCATATTTAATAATACACGGAATTTGCGATTGTAGCATTTAATTAAAAAAATACTCACCTCGATGCCAACGATTGGTTTTTGACCAAAAATATTTTAATTTGTCTAACATTTTAGCACTGTACTTTCTAGACTTCGCTAGTTGTGTTGCGGTTACGTTTTATTACACACTTGTATGAGTCATAACGAAATTAACCAATTACTTTTTGTACTTTGAACTGATTAACGAGTAAAAGAACAGGAAACCTGATTTTACTGTTTGAAATCACGTCACTTATCTTAATGAAACTGTAATATTACACAAATGTTTACAGAATATTTTGTAATTAAGCGCAATTAAACATTTAACGTCGAATTATTCTTACGGTTAGAATTTTTTTTTTTGTTAAACTTTTCTATTATAAAATTATCTTTTCAGAATAATATTATTAAACCGATAACAAGCGAAATACGTAAAAAATTACAAAAAAGTAAACCCAGCTCAAAAATGAAGGAAAACGATCAGCGTTTCATACTGAAACTGACAGCTTTCATCTGTAACTTATCACTGACGTTTTGCCAACGTTTCATTTCACAAAATCATAACTTCACGATGATTTTATTTGTAATTTGATAGGGGGAAAATGAGTCATGATTTCTAATAATGAGTAATGATTTAATGATGAAAACAAAAAAATCGTCGTTTTTGGTCTTATCCTCGCACTGATGCATAGGTTCTTAATTTCTTCGGTTGGACGGTCGGTCGACATTCACATCGCGATCAAGCAGCACCATACAACCACACAGCAACCGTTCGAGTTATAAATTTTTTTTCAATGATTTTCATTTAAAATTTACAAGTCGCAGAATTCAACCTACGAATAATTATTTTGATAACGTGATTCAAAACAAATAATCCTTCAAATTCTAGATATTTATTTGCATGTCTTGTACTGAAGTAATGGGCTCGATCTATCCGACTGTAAGTTTTGCAAGCCATAACTACTCGGGGCAACATCGTGCATGAGTTATTGGTTATAGCATTTTGATTGCACGAATCCAACAAATTGCGGCTAGCAGCTGGCTTGCTAAATTATGCAAGACTAACCGCAAATCAACAGCGTTCTAAATGTCAGCGGGGCAAAGGTACACTATTTCATTCTGCCATTTATATTTTATACGCTCGTAGAAGTTGCGCTAGCCGCTGAATGTTCTTTTTTCTTTTTAAACCATAAACTTTATTTAAAGTAATAATTACGATTTAATGAGCAGTGTTCATAAATAAGATAAATTAAGAGCTGCAAAACCTCAGGAATGTCTCCTTTTAAAATTAAAACGGCAAAAACCTTGAAATGCTCACTGGTACTTTATCTTCTAGGCGCAAACGATAATGTTTGTCTAACTATATAATTCAAATTAAGAGAAGCGTTGATATTTAAAGTTAGTAATACCTTCTTAAGTTTATAACAGAGTAGAATGATTTATACCACGCAGTAACTAGTAACTATGGAAAATCGCAAGTTTTATTCGCTTTGCGTTTACATAATAAAAGGGCGCCACAACTTTGCCGGTAGCCATTACGCAAATCATTCGAAACAATGAACGATTGTAAGCGTAAACCTATACGTATCGCAACAATGCTAGAGCTGTTACTCCTTAATCCAAAACCTTAACACCGTAACCAACGCGCCGTTTGAAGTTTTATTTCATTTACTGTAACTTTATATCCTGTGAAAGAACTGGTCCTAGTAACTACTTAAAGAATGTATTTTATCCAAGTATATTTTTATTAATTTAAACAGAAAAGATTTGTATTTTTGTATGTAACAAGAAAACTCAAAACTTTTGCATATTTCCCATTGCAAGAGATTTTTTGAAATAGGTAATTTTTGAATAAGCTTACTATAGCTGTTGCTCGTGACTTCGTGCACATGAAATTAAAAATTGTAAAAAACGTACCCTATGTTACTCGGCGATAACGTAGCTTTTTAATGGTGAAAGAATTTTTAAATCGGCCCAGTAGTTTTTGATTTGACAATGTTCAATACGCACATAAATCCAAAAGTACAAATCTTTCCTCTTTATAATATTGGTATTGATAATACAGATTACATTTTTTTCCGTGCGGACGTGCTCGCGGGCAATAGCAATGGATGTATCAACTTGAAAGCTATTCATAATATTTGGTTTTAATTTGAAACGTGAAAGTATCATGTATAAAACAATAATGAGATAAGACTGTGTTTTTGTATTCTTAAATGTAAGAAGTTTTTGATGAACCATAAATTCCTTAATTTTATCATCATTGTGTGACATGACGCGACAAAGAACAAAAGCGCGCCAACCGTCCCACCAGTTAAAAGCATAGACAAGAGACATCACACGACGCGACCACACACTTTTCATATTTATTTAGGGATGTTCATCAAAATATTTGTTAAATAAAACTAACGATTTTTCGAGATAATCGACTGTTAAATAATACATTATTTTATGTTTTTTTTTTTGAGAAACAGTTGCTAGAAATCAATTTTGTAATATGAATTCGTGAAATTAAAAGTAGGTATTCAAATAACTATCGACAGCAATGAACTTAAACAACCGATGTTTTTGACGATTTTGACAGGTTGAGAGAGGTTATCCCATCCCTATGGTTTATATTTTTTTAATTCAGTGTGTGTGGTCGAGGAAAGGGCATACTTAAAATCCTATCCGGGATGCAACTAAGCACAAAGTTAATCGCGGTTAATTTATAACGAGAGTGTTACAGATAATAACATCGTTTTTTAGATTAGTCATTAATGATGCACTATTAAGGTTAATAAAGGATTAGGGAAATGGTTACGTTTTGTAATTTGTAGGAATAATCTTGTAATTTTTGTAGTTTTTATCTCTTGGAATACATAAGAAATAGTAGATACATGGGTATCATAGTTGATAGAGATGACATTAAGGAAATAAACATTGTTCCTTACGAAGAAAAAGATTAACCAGTTTCGGAGTTAAAGCCGGACTGTTTGCACTTCCGCAAGTTACATTTGTACGTCTAATTATACAGGCGTGTTGCAGCCAATGTGGAATTCAGGCCAAACATCGTAATGTCTGGGAATTTTCAATTTTGTTTGAAACATTTCGCTTCTTTGCTTATAAGTAGCGCTTTTATTATTGTTTATGATAGTAGTTGTAATGTTTTATGTAACTTTTTAGGTGATTTTTTTAACGATATTTGTTAGTTCATCTTTACTATTTTTAATTTATGTTTTTTTTAGCGAGACAGTTTTCATTGTAAATATATCAATGTTGAATACTTCTTTGTTTCAATCTTTTAATATTAGTACTGTTTAAAAATTAAATAATACACACACTGACCACGTGACATAACTGTTAAATCCACCATTAACGTGTTTGTGTGATTTTTTTTATAACAGGTAACACTGGGATTTTTTGATGACATAAGGACTGGTAACACCAGTTCCAGCGGAAGTTGATTGAGTTACGCAGCTGATTCCAACGGATGTCAGACTTTTATTATTTTATTGTTAGTTTGACAGCTACATCCTATAATTGCTTTTTGATTACCCAAGCCTCGGGAACTTTTGTAAACATATATTAATTCATGCAATTTTAAGAGGCTATCAACCGTTGGGCATGTGCCAATTCAAAGCATCTAATACCTTCTTGTTAGTGGTGTTCTTTGTACCTTCAAGACCTAATATTTTAAGAAACTGGTCCGTACTTAAGTTATCATGGTTTGATATATCTATACTAATATTATGAAGAGAAAAACTTTGTTTGTTTGATTGTAATGAAATAACTCAAAAACTACTGGGCCGATTTTAAAAATTCTTTCATCATTAAAAAGCTACGTTGTCAGTGAGTAACAGGCTGTGTTGTATATTATTTTATTTTTACGCGGACGGAGTCGCGGGCAAATGCTAGTGGTTTGATAAACCAAATAATTTTAAGTAATACGCGTAGAAGACAAGAGTCTGTCAAGACCACTCTATCATACTTTTATGGATAGCCAAATTTTCAACAATAAAATCGTAAACCTGTGCAACATATGTTTTACTGCCACATATGTGTTTGGATGGAAAAATTAAAAAAGTTCAAACAAGAGTCGATATTAGCGGTAAAGCGAGTATCGTTCGTTGTTTACTTTCTGATGCGTTGAAGGTGCGCCTTTGCTTAAAAAAATATACGTGTCAGATGTGTCACGTGACATGTGTCAAAATATAAACAAACGTGATTGGCTGTTACAGCCACAATGTTTTTTTTTTTCAAATAACTGTTGTTTACATTCAGCCAGTTTCAAAAGTAGCGTTGATTTTTGATTGCTATATTATGCAATATTTTTAATTACCTATCGCGAATGTCTTTTTATGTGTAATTAGTGTATGGTTACTTGTATTTGCATTATAATTTAAATCAAAAGCACAATCTGTTTAAGAAACATAAAAAAATTAACACTGACTGTTTAAATTGCAACCGTAAAAGTAATATCGTAAACTATTTAGAATGGGAACAGCTAATTCTTAGAATAACAAACTTTTAAAGTATGTATAAACTTTACATCTAGTCAATATTTTATTACATCTTCGTTTATTGGAATATGTTTAACACTTTTGTACTGAATTGTACGAGTTTGGGTACAGTCGTGAAATTCAATCAAATGATAAATTGTTATACTCGTAGCACATAATGGGTCAGTTTATGAAGTTAAGAAAATAAAAAAAGAGCATAAATACAATTATCTATGTAATATGTACCTAAAATTTAGTTGAATATTTAAAAATACGTAATTTGTTCGATTGTTGAAATACCAAATTAAAAATTACTGCCTAACACTTTTTTTCGTGACAGTACATTAATCGAACTCAAAGTGTATACCAATATGAAAAGAAATATTATCATAATACGTTATTGCACAATATAATACGAGAATAACATAGCGTTATTACGAAATAGCAGTTTTAACAACGGTTTTAACAGTTTTGTTAGCGTATTGATAGTAGGTGTGAGTAACGGGCCGTATCTAGACATTCAAGATGCGTTCATTGTTTACTTTTAAAATGCAATTGTACAGATTTGGTAATATTCGCTTACTGGTAACATTATTTAAAAGGTTAAGATAATAATCATAATATAGGACAACAAAGAAAGGTTTTTTTATATAATAGACGTTAATTGCGAAGACAGACCACACGTCAGGCGCCAGATGGTGGTCCCCACGTGGTGCGTGTACAATAAAGTGAATTACCATACGCCGTAGAATCGGGTTAAGTGCCCAATTAATGACCCAAGCACAGACCTTAACTATGTCATTATAGTTATTTATGTATGTCCTGCGGCAACGAAAGACGTATTAGTTTGCTTGAAAGAATCTAAAATTGATTTT